AGAGTTTATTGTACATTTATAAATTAAACATACAGGTTGGGGATCGAATTTCCTCCCTCGTGATAGATAACAAACCTATCGTGACAACGATCGTGTTTGACATTCCAACACGTACTCTGACACCAAGCAAGTAGCTGATATCCGTCATTATAAGATATAATAAGTAGAATCTTTACCTATTATATCACAATCAGAGAAACTTAACCCAAAGTGTATTACATTGTACCAGCTTTATCTAACACAGTAAAATCGTAATCTGACTTTATTTTCTGAAATCTTTTAAAGTGATGTCGTAACATTATCTTGTTTAGATTCAAAATAATTTCTATGGGATCCATGACTCTGAAATACCTATCTTAACGCATAAAGATTTAAAAAATGTAATTGATTTTTTTTCTACGAGTGACATGAAGCTGACGAGACGTGGTAAAACATGGACCGTTCTAATGGTAGGATAAGGTATTCTGTACAATACGTGTTAATTTACCGACCATTATAACTGGCCTGTCTATCTTCACAATCTTTTGTCGGTCGTATCACATACCTTTCGTGCCACAAATACCTAATTGAAAATAAGATAATATCAAGACTAATTTCTTCAACGACTTACTATCTGATATCTGTCTGCCTCAATACTTAGAATGTTTTACGGGTTTATTACTATTATTATTTTTTAGCAAATATATATAGGTGGCGCGTCATAGACATTAAGAAACAATACAAGCATGATACCTTCTATTTCGTGAATTCCTTATCAATAGTGCAAATAACCTAGGTCGAGGTTCCATTACATATGATTGTTATGATATGAACATACAGTGATTTTAATGAAAACCACTTGGAAAGTAAGAAAGTAAGAAATACCTTTATCAAAAGGATTTCGTAATTTACCTTGCAATGTAAAATTCCACTTATTGTTCAACATCAAATAAGACTAAAAGAACAACACCACTTGTTTTGCATATAGTCATGAAAGTATAACATTGTTATATGTGACGTCATAAATGTTTGTTTTCATAAACAGTATATATAGGAAAGTATTTGATGATTTTTTTTTTTGACTTGAGAATCATAATATAAAATATAACAAAATGCATTATATATCGCCATGCCAAAGCTTTGAAGATTGTTAACAGTGAGCTAGAAGTATGGTTACAGTTACCGACTGGTGAGACACTATGGTACTGGTTGTGTTAACAGTGAGCTAGAAGTATGGTTACAGTTACCGACTGGTGAGACACTATGGTACTGGTTGTGTTAACAGTGAGCTAGAAGTATGGTTACAGTTACCGACTGGTGAGACACTATGGTACTGGTTGTGTTAACAGTGAGCTAGAAGTATGGTTACAGTTACCGACTGGTGAGACACTATGGTACTGGTTGTGTTAACAGTGAGCTAGAAGTATGGTTACAGTTACCGACTGGTGAGACACTATGGTACTGGTTGTGTTAACAGTGAGCTAGAAGTATGGTTACAGTTACCGACTGGTGAGACACTATGGTACTGGTTGTGTTAACAGTGAGCTAGAAGTATGGTTACAGTTACCGACTGGTGAGACACTATGGTACTGGTTGTGTTAACAGTGAGCTAGAAGTATGGTTACAGTTACCGACTGGTGAGACACTATGGTACTGGTTGTGTTAACAGTGAGCTAGAAGTATGGTTACAGTTACCGACTGGTGAGACACTATGGTACTGGTTGTGTTAACAGTGAGCTAGAAGTATGGTTACAGTTACCGACTGGTGAGACACTATGGTACTGGTTGTGTTAACAGTGAGCTAGAAGTATGGTTACAGTTACCGACTGGTGAGACACTATGGTACTGGTTGTGTTAACAGTGAGCTAGAAGTATGGTTACAGTTACCGACTGGTGAGACACTATGGTACTGGTTGTGTTAACAGTGAGCTAGAAGTATGGTTACAGTTACCGACTGGTGAGACACTATGGTACTGGTTGTGTTAACAGTGAGCTAGAAGTATGGTTACAGTTACCGACTGGTGAGACACTATGGTACTGGTTGTGTTAACAGTGAGCTAGAAGTATGGTTACAGTTACCGACTGGTGAGACACTATGGTACTGGTTGTGTTAACAGTGAGCTAGAAGTATGGTTACAGTTACCGACTGGTGAGACACTATGGTACTGGTTGTGTTAACAGTGAGCTAGAAGTATGGTTACAGTTACCGACTGGTGAGACACTATGGTACTGGTTGTGTTAACAGTGAGCTAGAAGTATGGTTACAGTTACCGACTGGTGAGACACTATGGTACTGGTTGTGTTAACAGTGAGCTAGAAGTATGGTTACAGTTACCGACTGGTGAGACACTATGGTACTGGTTGTGTTAACAGTGAGCTAGAAGTATGGTTACAGTTACCGACTGGTGAGACACTATGGTACTGGTTGTGTTAACAGTGAGCTAGAAGTATGGTTACAGTTACCGACTGGTGAGACACTATGGTACTGGTTGTGTTAACAGTGAGCTAGAAGTATGGTTACAGTTACCGACTGGTGAGACACTATGGTACTGGTTGTGTTAACAGTGAGCTAGAAGTATGGTTACAGTTACCGACTGGTGAGACACTATGGTACTGGTTGTGTTAACAGTGAGCTAGAAGTATGGTTACAGTTACCGACTGGTGAGACACTATGGTACTGGTTGTGTTAACAGTGAGCTAGAAGTATGGTTACAGTTACCGACTGGTGAGACACTATGGTACTGGTTGTGTTAACAGTGAGCTAGAAGTATGGTTACAGTTACCGACTGGTGAGACACTATGGTACTGGTTGTGTTAACAGTGAGCTAGAAGTATGGTTACAGTTACCGACTGGTGAGACACTATGGTACTGGTTGTGTTAACAGTGAGCTAGAAGTATGGTTACAGTTACCGACTGGTGAGACACTATGGTACTGGTTGTGTTAACAGTGAGCTAGAAGTATGGTTACAGTTACCGACTGGTGAGACACTATGGTACTGGTTGTGTTAACAGTGAGCTAGAAGTATGGTTACAGTTACCGACTGGTGAGACACTATGGTACTGGTTGTGTTAACAGTGAGCTAGAAGTATGGTTACAGTTACCGACTGGTGAAACACTATGGTACGGGTTGGTGCTATGCGTTTTATGCATATAACTTTAAGTTAACATTAAATAGTAGTAGTTATTTTTAAATATAGTATTCGTTTGTTCATTTTCAATAAATAAAATGTCAAAAATCTGAAAATATTAAGCTAACACCGACATAAATAATACTCGTTTTTACACGGTCATCACAACAACATATGTACAAATTCCTATGGTTTGACAGCGAATTAATTACGTTATTTCGTGAAGCTATCATGTAAGTGATACTTTCCGCCGTGAATTGTTCTAGTGCCGGCTATGTCCGGCCTGGTGTACGTGTACCCGTGATGTAATCTCAGTACGATGATTCGGAGAATGTTAGGGATCTGTACCATGCTGTTAACTCCTCCTTTGGTTGTGCTGTCAGGTGTTTTATCAAGTCGAAGCTTTGTTAACTTAACAAGATTAAGCACACATAAGTAGCATACGTTTAAAATCAAACTATTTATATTTCTTATTATACATTGGTGATACAAATTTGTATATTTAGGAGTGAACGCATATTACACGTGATGATTCGAAATTAAATGTGTGTTTAAAGTCATCAAAATGTTCGAGCTACTTTATGTAGTATAAATCTAATTATCTTACTACAAAAGGTAAATCACTGAAATATCAGGTAGGATGACTTAACATACCAGGTTGTTCTTCATTCATTTTTAGTTGATGTCTTATTTTTTATTTTATTTTTTATTTTTTTAGCAAAACGGGAAGTAAAATTTGGATACTTCTTACCAATAGTTCAGGTTAAAACATATTGGATCAGACAATTGGATTGATTTTTAATTCATATTTCGCTTCTAACCGGTCATTAGTTTCGTTAGGTAAATTTTAAATATATAAAATGCTTTGCTTGCAGTTTAGAGATATGGTTTCTGAAATTTTAATCGTTTTATTTTATCGTAGCAAATACATCAAACCTTAATACGTTTAATTACGGTAGATTTTTTCACAAATAAAATACGACCTATCATTAGTGAAACATGAAATTAAATGTACAGTAATGTAAAGAATAAATCTATATATAGAGCGGTTTAATCAATTTAATACAATTTAACAAAATCTGGTCCAAATGATAAGATGTGAATTCCGACATATCTTTACGTTATCGGCCATATTTTAAACTTAGATTAAGATCACGCTATCGGTATCCCCACACAACCACGCCCGTTTCATGCCTGATGGATTCAACCACGCCCTTTCTTCTGTTTATGTTTGTTTAATCCTACGTCATCGTTATCTTCAGATCTTTTACACTGTCAGTGTGTACAAATGTACTTTTCAGAACAGTATATAATTATATCTGTACTTGCGGTCATCCCTGTTGTGTAAAGCAGGAACATAGCCCGCTAATCAATTTAAATACCGCACTTAGAGGATATCAAATAATTGCCCTAGCTTTAGAATTTTTTTGATACAAATTCGGATTTTTTTTATCATAATATAACTAAGCTATTTTAAATAGCATGTGTTTTTACAAAATTCCTAAAAAAACGCCATTTCTTTGCAAATGTTACATCTCATTCTTACTGATGACGCCACAGTGATTGATAGTGCTATCACAATGATTTATGCCACATCATGTCTACTTTTATATATTTAATGGAAATATATTGTTATTGTTTATTTCCTGAAATATACTCAGTTGTCTATCGTCCAATTGGACCAATTTTTTAAAAGTTTAAGTTGTTTCTCTTATTACGATTAAAACAATTAACGAATACTGTTTTCGTGAAATATACTCGGTTGCCTATCTTTCTATGAATCCAAACAATTCAGGCCATGAGTTATTTTAAAATATTAAAAAAACTAACGGATTAAATTAACAGTTCTAAACATATTGTTTATGTTAATGTCATTTTGTTTCCATTTCAGAATCCATTGGAGGTATTCAAGGAGTTCAGAAAGAAATATGGAAAGATCTACGGGTAAGAAAATATCTATATATTACCAGTGTAAGAAAACAAATCGGATTGTAGTATCCCATCTCTTTTAACTGTCACGAGAAAATATAAACATGTTTTTTAGTTGTTTGAAATTGTATGTTGGCTAAAAGAAATTTGTCTTTCGTCCACCTATTCCTTTCGATCTAATTTCAAACACTGTAACTGCAGCAAGCGTAGTCCGAAAATAATTTTAAAATACTTTTCGAAATTTCCACACATAATATTGCTAGGAATTTCTTATATATTTCTGAGAAAAAAGGTAATTCGAAGTTTCTACGCATAAATTACTTTAAATGTGTAGAAACATGGAATAACCTTTTTTCTCTCACAAATATACAAGAAATTCACAGTTATGTTATGTGTGGAAAATTCGAATAACATTTTGTATACTTATGAGAATAAAAGTTTATTCGTAGTTTCTACACATAACATTACTTCAAATTTCTTGTATATTTGAGAAAACAGAGTCCTATCTGTGTTCATGTTAGCTAAACTCACTAAAACCCATTTGGGCCATTTTAAAACGTAATGCTGCGTTATCTGTATGAAACAGTCTAATTGATTACATTACCTTAAAAACCTAATTCTCACTTAAGTGTTGGCACTAGCTAAATCGTTACGTTAACACATGCTGGTAGCAATGGGTACGTACAGTTGGGTGTCCTGGTGGGGAGCGTTTGAGGAATATGTATGTTAATAAGGCCTTTTTTACCTTCAAAGCGAATCAATTAAATCGTACCAAAGACTCACGCTTAAATATGTCTAAGAGCTGGCTCCGATGTCCTGGGAACAGTTCAGTTAGGCGAGGTTCGCTTTAGCTGTCCATACGTGAGCTTACTCAACACATTACCGCTTGTGTGGTACTGTAAAAGGATAAAGTCTTACTCAAACGACTCTGAAATGCTGTACACGATTTTATTTCACACACACAAAAAAAGACAAACAATTAACAGTCTTTTTACAGCAATAAAGACCTCAGTGCAATGCAATCTAGAATTGCCGAAAAAATAACCTTTCACTTACTTAAGTTGTTTTACACACTAACGATAATGTAAAACTACTAAAACAGGAATGTATGAGTCCCTTATTGAATGGTGGAAGCTCCATAGTGGATGTAATATCATAAGCTTCATAGGTATATACATCAATATTACATTTCTAAACAAGATATGTCTATAACAATTAGTATTGCTTTATCGGTTGCCATGCTACCTACTTTAAGTCCTTTTACGTATATGTATATGAATTAGTATCACTTTTCCTGAACGATATCGGAATCGGAACTGCCCTATCAGTTACCCTGGTGTTTACTAGAAACACTTTTATGTTGTGCATCACAACCGAACAGGTTATCTGACCGTATAACTGGTTATACTTATTGCAGGTTCTTCGAAGGTTTTCGCCCTAGCATTGTGGTCAACGACCCCGAAATGACCAAGGAGATACTGGTCAAGCATTTCGACAAGTTCGGCGTCCGACCGGTAGGTGTTTTCTAATATGCCAATGACCAATCAGAACGTCTTGACCGTATATGGTCAACAGAGTCCAACCTTTGACCGTTGTGTAAAGTTCAGTCAACTTAATGACCAGTTAAGGATGTATGCTACATGTACCTTACACATAAGCCCGTGATGTGTATGCAAAAGCGTTCTCCCATCATCTTATAGTTCACAACCTATTGAGTAATATCAAAACCAATAATTAATATAATTTGTCTTTCTAAAATATCCGTGGAAATAGTGAAAGTATCATTAATTCTTCATTTGAAGGATTATTTCATTTTTATGTCCATTTTCATGGGTTGATTTTTTTTATATGAACAGATTTTGTGATTTTATCATTCTTTTAATTGGGTTATGTTGTATAATTTATAGCTGTTAATATTCATTTTATTTGTGGTCACCAAAGATAGCCTGAAATGAAATACCCGACGATTTAAAAAAAAATAATGATATCTGTGTATATATGTAAACTAAGAAAAAAAGAAAAGGACCGGTTGACGCCTTTGCGGACGAATAAGCGATAAAAAAATAAGTAAATATAGCATTTACTTTATTTTGATAAACACTTGTAAAATATATCCCATCATCTAAATACTGTATTACCCTCGTGAAAGCTATATTTTCACCTAGCACTTTATCGCGAAATTTAAACACCGCAAACTAGTTCTAATAAGAATAACCGTGAAATATCAGCCACGCGAAATTAAACAAAACAAAACCAGCAGTATATTCGCTATTGTTGTATTTTGTATTTTAGTGTAGATCTAGTATATTTGTATCGTCATGGTTCATGACTTTATTTTGTACCTTAGTGTATTTTTTTTTTAACTTTGAGATATGGTGTTTCCGATATTAACGTCAATCGTACAATCCAATATTATTTGTATATATTTACATTTGCTCTGCATCCTTCCATTTTAATGCATTTCGAAGGCAAATTGTTGTTATGAGACTATAACAACATTTGCTATTGCAACGTCATCAATCTCTTTAGTGACGTCATCAATTTCATTGTTGTCAACACTTGATCTGTTGTTCAAAAACTATTCGAAACAACTAAATAAAGATCTACTCTATCGAAATGTAAATACAGATTATGAATATTTTAGCAAATGTTGTTATGGTCTTTAACACACATTGCTATTGACGGCAAACTTAATAAAGCTCTTGAACATCATATTGCTTAATAAACGACTTTTTACAGCGTTTAAACAGCTTTCGTGACAAAATAAAGTGCTAAGGGAGCGAAGGGGAAAAGGTTCATATTGTAAGACATGGTATAGGGCCGCTAGAATGTCAACTGTCTTTCCCTTTTTTCGATAATATGCTGACAATGGTTTAATGACAATCTGTTTCTTATTTAAGGTCTACAACCCGTTTACTTACTACCCTGACCATTTGAATCTCTTCACCACATCCGGGTCGTTATGGAAACAACAGCGATCCATCGTTGCCACAGCATTCAACAAGATCAACATGGAGAAGGTATGATGATTGAAACAGAAATAATGGTTATATTTCAATAAAAATAACAAAATATTTGTATGAGTGACGCACACTGACTAGATTAGATTATATAAATTACTATAAATTATATGTTGGCGACAACTGTTTCGATAATATTCAATGCTACTGGCAATCACTGGGGCGGAGGTATTGACCGACTACGTGATCCTTTAAAAAAGCCACCTACATCCTGCTGAATCCTGTCACAATCCTGTACATAGTTCAGTGGTGAAGTCAGATGGATTTTGTTTGGTCTCCGGCATCAACAAACCAAGTTCTTAAAGATGGCGCTTCCTTACCACGTGTACTTATTACTAAACTTCTTCTCATTTCTACAACCTCTTCACTTCCGTGTGTTCCTTGTCATATTTACCGTCCATTTGTTCACTTAGTTTCTACTGTGTGTCTGTCTGGCTTTGTTGTGTGTGTCGTTAAGTCTACCGCATGACCTTACTTTAATGAAGGACTGTTAATACTACTGTGTGACCCTGTATGACATTATTGTTGTTGTCTGATTAAGACTACTGTGTGACCCTGTATGACCTTATTGTTGTCGAATTAAGACTACTGTGTGACCCTGTATGACCTTATTGTTGTAGACGGATTAAGGCTACCGTGTGACCCTGTATGACCTTATTGTTGTTGTCGGGTTAAGGCTACCGTGTGACCCTGTATGACCTTATTGTTGTTGTCGGATAAAGACTACTGTGTGACCCTGTATGACCATATTGTATAAATGGACCGTTAAGACTATCGTATGACGCTGTATGACCTTATTGTTGTTGACGGATTAAGGCTACTGTGTGACCCTGTATGACCTTAGTGTTGTCTGATTAAGACTACTGTGTGACCCTGTATGACCATATTGTATTAATGGACCGTTAAGACTATCGTATGACGCTGTATGACCTTATTGTTGTTGTCTGATTAAGACTACTGTGTGACCCTGTATGACCTTATTGTTGTCTGATTAAGACTACTGTGTGACCCTGTATGACCTTAATGTTGTTGACGGATTAAGGCTACCGTGTGACCCTGTATGACCTTATTGTTGTTGTCGGGTTAAGACTACTGTATGACCCTGTATGACCTTATTGTTGTTGACGGATTAAGGCTACCGTGTGACCCTGTATGACCTTATTGTTGTTGACGGATAAAGACTACTGTGTGACCCTGTATGACCATATTGTATTAATGGACCGTTAAGACTATTGTATGACGCTGTATGACCGTTACATCTACCGTACAGCCTCATTTTTATATATTCTATCTAACGTGTATTGCAGGCTGTTGAAAATGTCAAGGTCACGTCCGACATCTTCCTCGCCAAGCTTGCGAAGCTGGTCGAGTACCATCCAGAGGGCTTCAACATCGCCACGTGAGTACCCACTATCATAACAACCTAGTTGCATTGATCTACAGTAGCACAAAGGGACTTTAACGCGAACAAAGTATCCATTACACGTTTACTCAAAATAAAACCCTGATTTATACTTAATTGTTCTTTTAGAAGGATATCCTTTATCTTAAAGGACTATAAAGAGAACACAATATCGCAGACGCATTATTTCCCGAAATAAATGCTAATTGAAACTTGATTGTTCTTACGGAAAGATTTCCTTACTCTTTTTTTGAAGCACAAATATGTCTAATGTTTATCGGTTAAATAACTTTTGCTTGTTTTACAAATGAAGAATTAAATGACCCTGTTCAGTAAAGTAAACCTTTTGTGGCGGTGCAATTAAAACGTTCAATTCCTCGATGCACTGTGAGTTAAAATGAACAGTTAAAATGCACCCGCTTGTGAGAAGAAAACAATCTGTTGAACGGTAGTTATACTAGAAAATTAATTGTATCGACTTAATCCTCTCCTTTACATTGGTATCTTGTAATGTGCGTGTTAGTGTGAGTACCACAATTATTATCAATTCGTTTAAGCTTACCTTCTTGACATACATATTCATGCCTGCTCTTTTGGCTAAGCTCAAAATCAAAATGAAAATTCTTAAATCAACTTACTATAAAAAGAGAGTAAAACCTGCCACATTTGTTTAGAACAAAGTGAGTGTGTTATTCAGGTCCTCCTGTGTGTATTATATTCATGTATGTATTCTATACCTGTTTGTTTTCTATTCCTGTTTGTATTCTATTCATGTATGTATTCTATACATGTAGGTATTCTATTCCTGTATGTATTCTATTATTGTATGTATTCTATTCCTGTTTGTATTCTATACCTGTATGTATTCTATACCTGTATGTATTCTATACATGTAGGTATTCTATTCCTGTTTGTATTCTATTCCTTTTTGTATTCTATACATGTATGTATTCTATTCATGTATGTTTTCTATACCTGTATGTCTTATATTCCTGTATGTATTATATTTCTGTTTGTATGCTATACCTGTATGTATTCTATTCCTGTATGGATTCTATTCATGTTGGTATGCTATTAATGTTTGTTTTCTATACCTGTATGTATTCTATACATGTAGGTATTCTACTCCTGCATGTATTCTATTATTGTATGTATTCTATTCCTGTTTGTATTCTCTACCTGTATGTATTCTATACCTGTATGTATTATATTCCTGTATGTATTATATTCCTGTACGTATTATATTCCTGTATGTATTATATTTCTGATTGTATGCTATACCTGCATGTATTCTATTCCTGTATGTATTCTATTCATGTATGTTTTCGATACCTGTAGGTATTAGATTCCTGTATGTATTATATTCCTGTATGTATTATATTCCTGGCTGATCTCTTCCACAGACTCTTGGACGGGTTCACATTGGACGCTTTCGCCTTGGCTGCATTCAATTATGAAGTCAACAGTATGGACTGTATGTATTCTATACCTGTTTGTTTTCTATTCCTGTTTGTATTCTATTCATGTATGTATTCTATACATGTAGGTATTCTACTCCTGCATGTATTCTATTATTGTATGTATTCTATTCCTGTTTGTATTCTATACCTCTATGTATTCTATACCTGTATGTATTCTATACATGTAGGTATTCTATTCCTGTATGTATTCTATCATTGTATGTATTCTATTCCCGTATGTATTCTATACCTGTATGTATTCTATCCCTGTATGTATTCTATTCCTGTTTGTATTCTATACCTCTATGTATTCTATACCTGTATGTATTCTATCCCTGTATGTATTATATTCCTGTATGTATTCTATACATGTAGGTATTCTATTCCTGTATGTATTCTATCATTGTATGTATTCTATTCCTGTATGTATTCTATACCTGTATGTATTATATTCCTGTATGTATTCTATTCCTGTTTGTATTCTGTTCCTGTTTGTATTCTATACATGTATGTATTCTATTCATGTATGTTTTCTATACCTGTATGTCTTATATTCCTGTATGTATTATATTTCTGTTTGTATGCTATACCTGTATGTATTCTATTCCTGTGTGTATTATATTCATGTATGTATCCTATACCTGTTTGTTTTCTATTCCTGTTTGTATTCTATTCATGTATGTATTCTATACATGTAGGTATTCTATTCCTGTATGTATTCTATTATTGTATGTATTCTATTCCTGTTTGTATTCTATACCTCTATGTATTCTATACCTGTATGTATTCTATACCTGCATGTATTCTAAACCTGTATGTATTATATTACTGTATGTTTTCTATTCCTGTATGTTTTCTATTACTGTATGTATTCTATTCATGTATGTTTTCGATACCTGTAGGTATTAGATTCCTGTATGTATTATATTCCTGTATGTATTATATTTCTGTTTGTATGCTATACCTGTATGTATTCTATTCCTGTGTGTATTATATTCATGTATGTATCCTATACCTGTTTGTTTTCTATTCCTGTTTGTATTCTATTCATATATGTATTCTATACATGTAGGTATTCTATTCCTGTATGTATTCTATCATTGTATGTATTCTATTCCCGTATGTATTCTATACCTGTATGTATTCTAACCCTGTATGTATTATATTCCTGTATGTTTTCTATTCCTGTATGTTTTCTATTACTGTATGTATTCTATTCATGTATGTTTTCTATACCTGTATGTCTTATATTCCTGTATGTATTATATTCCTGTATGTATTATATTCCTGGCTGATCTCTCCCACAGACTCTTGGACGGGTTCACATTGGACGCTTTCGCCTTGTCTGCATTCAATTATGAAGTCAACAGTATGGACGACCCGGACGCCATTCTGATGCAGTTTATGACGGAGACCTTGAACGCTGCGTCCACGGAGAACAAACTGGCTGGAATCTGTCGTAAGTGTACATCACCTTCTCACATCATATAGAGTGAATGAACCAGTTTAGAATAAAAATAATAAAATATTATTTCTTTTATAACAATTATCAAAAAGTAAGTGCGGCTTCTGTTAAACACTCTTGCTGTCCCGGATGTGAGCGTAGGGGGAAATGTGTGGGGAAACCGAAGTACCCGGTGAACATCCGCGTGGCACATACTTTTGCGCGTGTTATCAGGAAGTTGATCCCGGGAGACTTGGTGAAAGGCGATTTGTTTTCTACTCCCTAAACATATAATTAAACTATACACCAATCATTTTTTTAAATGTATTTTTTATAGAAAGAAAATCAAATGCTGATGGTAAGACTTAACACCGGAAATTGAAATTTATGAAACTTGAACATTTCTGTTGAAATATTTGAAGAGCGATTAAAATCATTTACAATTTCCACCCATCAATACTCACATTTTATAAGTATATTATAAAGTAACGGATCTCACCATCAATATGTGCAAACAGTATCAAATGTATATTTAACCACTCATATGCTTTTTACCTCCTGTAGGAGTTTATGAAAGTCTCACTCCAATCTTGAAGATCTTTGACTACAAACATAGGCGTGTACACATGAAACACGTGGAAAAGATGAGGCAAATGGTACAGTTGACAAGACAACAGGTAAGCCGCCCGGTTTTTATTTTGAACGCAAACTGATTGTCGTTAATTTGACCAGCTACGTTTTGACGTATGTGAACGGTAGTGCTGGAAACGGTTCTGGCTGTGTTCATATTACCTTTCGATACCTTTCGATGAATCCTCACTTTCATTGAATGCTGGTTCTATAGTATCTGTAATGTCTCTTTTATTTTATGTGGCCACGGTGGCCAATTGGTTCGGGCGTCTGACATTCTGCTACCACTAGCCCTCCACCACTGGGTCGCGTGTTCGAGAACTACGTGGGGCAGTCGCCAGGTACTGGCCGTAGGTCGGTGGTTTTTGTCTCCGGGAACTCCGGCTTACCTCCACCACCACAAATCTGGCACGTCCTTAAATGACCACAGCTGTTAATAGGACGTAAAACACAAACAAACCAAATCCTTCACTTATATAAGCGGATGCAATCATAGTTGATTGAGCAAGAGAACGGTTTCATGAATGCAGGCCCTAGTCTTATTCTCTTGGTACTTTAAATGGGTCTCCATGTGAATCTGTCTGTTGCTCACGTTTGTTTTTATCGATTTTGAGCTCACTTAGCAATTTTGTGGACACATCGGTACAGAAAAATGAATATAGGAGCAATTTGATTCATGGGCTGAGCAGTATTGATGCAACGTACTTATAACAAATAAATACAGAGTTTTGTTAGGGTTAAGACCTAAATCCTGGAGTTAGCGTTACCAGTTTTGAATATCAAAAGGCATTCTGAATGTATGTATTGTATAGATACTCGTGACTGTTCACCTGTGGGCAACCATATTGCAAACAACGTTAATCTGCGTTTCAATATGTTCACCTCGAAAAAATCGTTTGGACTGTTTCCCTTCCGGACAAAAATCCCAACAAAGAAAACGTGTTACAGGTCCCTGTGTATTTTTTCCAGAAAAATTATACAACTGAATCGACTGACAACCTCCTGGATCACATTATCACTCGCACGTTCAGTTCCCGTGATGAGGAGGGCAAAGTTGTACGTCGCGCGCTCGACGACGAGGAGATCATTGCACACTTGCACTCCCTGATCGGTGGCGGACTGGGGACTCTAAATGCCGCCCTCGAGTTCGTCGTGCATTGCCTCGCTATGAACCAGCCGGAACAACAGAGGGCGTATGACGAGATATTCGCACAATGTGGACTAAACGTTAGTATTGCCTTCATGAACTTACAAACAATATAAGCAATAATTGGTAGAAAAACGAAGAAATGAAATACCTATATATTTATTTATTTAATATATTTGTATGAAGTACACTTTGCTGAATGAACTATTTGGTTATTTAGACCATTCAATACAATAAGTCACTTTACTACTGTCGTTGAATTATTTCAAGACAATCTGATGAAACCAAATTTGATTTGTTTGTTTCGGTGAACATGCTCTTCGTAATCGTAGATAAAGAATTTTTTAATTTCCAATTTTATCACTTTTAGTTTTGATTTCCTGGAAAAAAGAGAATTCTAAAATGACGCATTGCTTGAAATAGACACAAATTACTTTATATTTTACCAATATCTTCAAAAGTATTTTAAAAATATCTCTGATGTTTCAAATATCTTAAATATCTTGAATAGCTTTCATATCTCGTTTGCCTAAAGGTTGATGTTCTGCCCGCTGCAGTTTATCGGACTGCAGCTTCTATATTTTTATGAAAGCAATTCTATAGCAAGTTGAATATCGTTCACGGAAAGATGCTAAATGTTCATGATAGTCAATGTTGAAAATCTCGACTCGGATACATGAGCATGATAAAAATGGATTTTGCATTTAGGAAAAGTCATCTTAAGTTTGTTACAAAATATTTTAAAAATAAATTAACACGCATAAAGGTCCGACTCTAATAGTAAAGCACAATATGTAGCCTAAATCGATGACGTCACATTATAAACTGTTACATAACTAACGCGTCACGTCTCACCTATCCACTGCTCCAGGAACATCCTACCGTAGCTGCCCTGAAAAACATGGAGTACCTGGAAATGGTCATGAATGAAGCACTTCGCCTGTATCCATGTGCACCAGGGTAAGAAGACTAGTGATTTAATCTAATAAAAACAACATGAAACTGATCCAGTTAAACATGTGTCAATATGTTTTTACATTAAAATGGAGGTTAAAGGAAGGACAAATTTGCTGAAATATGATATACTTTCCAGATAAACTTTAATATATGTTCTTTATTGTTCATTTATACTTAATTTGTAAGACAGGTAATAACGTCAATTCTACCGGAGAATGTTAGTAAGTTTTCAAAACTGTTGTAAAATCATTTAAAATGTAAATTTTCGACATTTTCGAATATACAATCATACCAAAAATGGTTATTAGTTTTATCCCGTGTTTTAGAACTGCCCGGATGTGTACACAGGATTGTACCATTAACGGTGTGGAATTCAAGGCCGGGATGATGATTCGAGTCATGGCCTTCACTCTGTATGAGGACGAAGAATACTTCCCACAGCCGAAAAAGTTTATGCCCGAAAGGTGAGCCCTGACGAATTGGTAGTTTAGGGATGGAATATGGTGACGCAATACATAATGGCCACATCGGTTTATAGCTATCTCCTAAGTGTTGGGCTCTCAGATTACGTTTTTAATTTTGTTTAACCACGTATTAACAGCTTAGGTAAGACTAGTGATGTTTACTTATGTATAGAGTAAATGAACTATCTAACTAAAAACAGCATTCACCTTATTTAATTAAAAATGTATCAGTCAAAATGTTTTTACATGAAAATGGACGCTTAAGCAATGACAAGGTTGCTGAAATATGAAATGTTTTTTTCCAAAATAAACTTTGTGCTTAAACGTTGAGCCCTGCCGAATGTGTAGTTAATGTTGAAATATGGTGACCTCCTACATATTGGGCTCGTTGGGTGAATGCTATCCCCGAAGTGTTAAAATGTCAGGTTATCTTTAAAAGGTTATAATTAACACCACTTGGTGTAAACCCGAAGTGTTAACCTGTCAGGTTATCTGTATAGGTATCCCATTAACACCACTTGGTGTATACCGGAAGTGTTAACCTGTCAGGTTATCTGTATATGTATCCCATTAACACCACTTGGTGTATACCGGAAGTGTTAACCTGTCAGGTTATCTGTATAGGTATCCCATTAACACCACTTGGTGTAAACCCGAAGTGTTAACCTGTCAGGTTATCTGTATAGGTATCCCATTAACACCACTTGGTGTATACCGGAAGTGTTAACCTGTCAGGTTATCTGTATAGGTATCCCATTAACACCACTTGGTGTATACCGGAAGTGTTAACCTGTCAGGTTATCTGTATAGGTATCCCATTAACACCACTTGGTGTATACCGGAAGTGTTAACCTGTCAGGTTATCTGTATAGGTATCCCATTAACACCACTTGGTGTATACCGGAAGTGTTAACCTGTCAGGTTATCTGTATAGGTATCCCATTAACACCACTTGGTGTATACCGGAAGTGTTAACCTGTCAGGTTATCTGTATAGGTATCCCATTAACACCACTTGGTGTATACCGGAAGTGTTAACCTGTCAGGTTATCTGTATAGGTATCCCATTAACACCACTTGGTGTATACCGGAAGTGTTAACCTGTCAGGTTATCTGTATAGGTATCCCATTAACACCACTTGGTGTATACCGGAAGTGTTAACCTATCAGGTTATCTGTATAAGTATCCCATTAACACCACTTGGTGTATACCGGAAGCGTTAACCTGTCAGGTTATCTGAATAGGTATCCTATTAACACCACTTGGTGTATACCGGAAGTGTTAACCTGCCAGGTTATCTGTATAGTTATCTCATTAATACCACTTGGTGTATACCGGAAGTGTTAACCTGTCAGGTGATCTGTATATGTATCTCATTAACACCACTTGGTGTATACCCGAAGTGTTAACCTGTCAGGTTATCTGCATAGGTATCCCATTAACACCACTTGGTGTATACCGGAAGTGTTAACCTGTCAGGTTATCTGTATAGGTATCCCATTAACAACACTTGGTGTATACCGGAAGATCATGTTCTGCTCAAGTCAATGGAATGATATTTAAGATAGCAGTTCGTGAATCTTGTAGTATCACATCGATGAATTCAGTTCAAAGTATTAAAACGTTGGCATATAGTCCACATTTTGCGCTTGACGACAGTTTCAGATTAATGTTAGCTATAAAATGTTTCTCACACCTGTAGAAAGCTGTATCAATCCTCATTGGCAAATATTAAAAACATAACGGAAAATTTGGTACCGGATAGTTTATCCTGATAATGCTTATAATCCCAACAATGGTGACATTGTGAAGTTAGCTAGAATTCCTCTAAATGAATTAAATTCATAGATTTAGGGGACATGTCGCACCTGCCCTTCTATTTTAACAGTAGTTTAGGCTGATGAGTCCGAGAAGGACGAGACAGCTGTATGATGAAGTGAAATTCGTTTTCGGCATACTGTGACTATTACCATCAAATGTTAAAAGTGCAATAACCCGTGTGTTACGTTCAGATCTGAAACCTATAACTATATGTTACGATGTTTTAATTGAATACGTAAACAATCCAAACTCAAATCTTACATATCCTGAAATAATATTGCAAACTGACCACAGAAAATCAAATAATATTTGTGATATGTCGGTAAAAACAATGTAGACGATTGGTATGAATTGTACTCAAGTTTTACATATTAATAGTTAATTTGTATTATTATTAAATACCGTGTAGAAATATCAACCAACCATTTACGGTATAGATGATAAGGGTTTTTTCCGTTTGCCATGGACACCGTTATTTACTTAGCACGAATTATTGACAACCTTTTATACGGTATACGGTAAAACGTTTGTTTTTTTCTGCTCAGATATATTTGTATGTATCATTAGTAAATACATTGTCACATATATAGTATAAAGTCATATGTTAATGCTTTCACATCCCTTGTATTTTGTTGCTAAAAAAGATCCACATTTCAACAGCCCCATTTACAAAAAAAAGACCTTCGGAGTGGTATTGTCGTGATAATCAGTCCTCGCAAACATGTCATTGGCGCGTTACCATGAAAATTCAGCATCGCCCAAAGTAAATAGCTCTACAATTACTTTATATTTTCGTCAATGCATTAATCGAGTTCAAGTCTTTGGTTGAGAAATAATGTTACAGATATCAGTACAAATGTATGGTCCTAGGTTATATAAAGATTGGCAACAACGTAACAAGCGAGGTATAGTTAAACTATAAAGCTTCCCAGCCTGTATCCGTATACTGATAGTCTGGTCCCGGTTGACTTGTCTTGATCAGGGGGTTGCTTGAGTTCTCTCGCAAACAGACAAACGAAGGAACTTCCTCATTATCTTCATTTAGCATTACAATCGAGAAAAGTACATAGCTTTTGTGAGGGGAAGTGCTGTAATTTTGTATATATATATTACACGTCTTGCTCATCAAAGGCTTGTCAGAAGTGATAACAAATGGTATCATCAGTAACTAGCTCTACTTACCTGTTATGCATGCAACATTAACTTCATCCAATAATGCAGACGGGTAGAGTTTCCTAGTTTCCCTTTAACATGTTAGCACATGCACTATGCGATTATTGTGCCAAGTACAAAAAGTTGTATTGCTATATTTATAGTTCATTTTTGATTGGCTAAAGTGCATTTACGTTCACGTGTTTGTCTGAAAATAATGTGAGTTGTCTGGAGTAATGATACCCTTTTTGTCATGCATATAGCCTTATAGAGAAAATAAATTCCCCCTGTGGAACAGATGATTTGTTTTTTATGCACATACCCTTATTTAGCTTACAAATCTGGTCTGTAGTAAAAATAAACTCTTTCCAGTGCACATAACATTTATTTTTCTTATATATCTGGTGTGCAATAAAGAAACCATAGTGCCTAACCTTGCAATATCTCACGTTTGTTTTTGAAGTTGAGACTTCGCCCAGGTAGGGAGGGCAATGGATTCTGTCCCCAGGCCGGTACATACCAAAGTCCTTAAAAATGGTAGTTGTTATTCCCTGCTTAACGTTCAGCAATGGGGGGAATGGCATCATCTGGTTCACCCGTTGTCAGTGTAATGTGACCGGGCGGAATGCTGTGCTGGGTGCCTACGGCATTGTATACGATCACTGGCACTTCACCACTGGGTAGCGGGTTCGTGGGGCATTCGCCAGGGACTTGCTGCAGGTCGGTGAATATTCACCGGGTACGGTTTTCCTTCGCCACCAAAACCTGGCTAGTCCTTAAATGACCAGAGCTGTTAACAGGACGTAAAGTACAACAGAACCAAACCAAACCCAGCCACCCCCCAAACACCTTTTCATTTGTTCATTATTGTCGCTTTATCCTCAGGTTCTATGTGGGTGTTTTTGTATCGATATTGAATCTGACTTTTTTCTGGTATATCTGTTTACATTTTAGTATACCACTGTACATGTCGTCAGTGTCTAGTATAACTATGTTGTACTCCGTAGGTTCAACACAGCCGCCAAGAAAGAAAGACATCCGTACACCTTTATCCCGTTTGGTCAGGGACCACGGATCTGTGTGGGCATGAAGTTCGGCATTTACCTGATCAAAATAGCTCTAGTTAAAATACTACAGAAATACGTCATCGTCCCATCCAGTAAAACACAGGTAAAGAATGAAGTTTCGTTTTTTCGTGTAAAAACCAAAGCAATACACGACCAAATCTCGTTGTTTAAAAAAATGAAAAAGAGTCAATTAAGATTTCCACGATGGCAATAACGAAAAGAAATTGTTATTACTATATTCATTATCAATTATTCGTGAAATTGTTGTTATTTAAGATATCGATCATCTTCAAATTTTGTTAAAATCAAGCAATATGATCGCAATAACCACACGGATAATATAATATAATATAATCTGTCCGTCCTATCGTATTCCTTGACTTATTCTCCGTATTTTTTTTTTAATGGTCGCTATGTGATTCCTTACTTTGTTCATATGTTATGCTTTGTTATATCGATTTTGAGTTCGAACCATTGTTCTGTAAACACCTAGGTGTTACCTTGTTTTTAATTTATCTTTCATATCTCATATTTAATTATTTTCCCCCGTAATTTCAGTAATACACCATTCCTATTTCTAACGAGTTTGTTTTGTTTTCCAGGACCCCCTGCCCACTGTTCTGAGGCCAATGTTGGCTCCACGTCATGGTGTGTTTATTAAACTTGTGCCGCGTCGGACCGGACCGCCTGTTATATCACAGGGTTAAGTCAGACCGTAAATGACGTCGGCTTATGCTACTGACGTCCTTGACGTTCTGCACCCTTGTGACAGGCCCAGTCACGCGCGCTCCGAGAGCGGACCGACAGAGGATGGATTGTCCGTCCGGCGTATGTAGGGTACATATTATAGGCATAATCTGCTTATGAATATGTCATATAGCCAAGTAGTAAAGGCAGAATAATACAGGGATATATTCTATCAATATTAATGTTTAATGCTATTGAGCATTGTTATCATTTATTCCAAAGTAATTATCAGCTATATTGTATTATGTAACTACCGAAACGATTTTAGTGATAAAGGAGGTGGTTTATGCTGGGAGAAGGCTATATGGCACGCGTTGCTAAAGCAATACAAATGCAACGAACACCGTTTGAAAATACTCGCCTGCAATAAATAAGGAAGGCGGACGCCATTTTGGAATCTGCCCGCCATTTTGGAATCACAATTGTGTTATAAAATGGTGTGCATGAATAACAAACATAATCCAAGCACATACCAACTCTATGTTACTGTTGTATGCAACGAAGAGAGACTCAGTGATTTGTTATATTATTCCAAATTCGTGTCGAATGAAAAGATACAAAGTGGCACGGATCATAACGAGAGACTTGGTGAGTACCGTTTATTGTAGTAGTGGTCAGTTGAACTGACCACTGCGGCGCTTAGACGCCGTATTGTCGAGTACCACGCGTGCTGGATACGTTAAAATCGATTTGATGTTTATTTGCTTATTATTATTGTCAAAACAATCAGCATTTCTTTTGTCTGATCTACCGAATTTCTTTACAAACCATATCCCTGTATACGTACGTTGTGTCATTGTGACGTCATGTGTTTCCTGGTACGTTTGTTACAAGACAGGTCTATGTAAACCAACTTTACGTTCATAGACAACAAAACGATATTTGCATGTCGAGATATTCTTTGTAAAATACCTTGACTGTCAAATAGCAGTCCTACCTGAAACACTGTACTGTTGAGTTTACTACAAGTCGTACGGAAATGATTTATTTTACAAAAGTACGTAACCATTATATGATATATAAATATATGTATACATCTTAAAATATTTGAACATTCATAACCATTTTTGATAATACTGTAAATGTGAATTATCAAGAAAGTATGTGTTAATTTCAGCGCTGTGGATATTTTTCATCAAATTCTCATTAATCAGAGTTAGCAATCGGGCACGGAAATAAACTGATAACTAGTATGCTGCAGGATTTTAAAATGCGGATACAAGCAAGTTGCAAATAGTTGAAGAATTCATATCGCAAACAATTTGAAACTAGTTAGGAATACCGAATTGTGACAAATATCCACTTCGCGAATTGCTGGAAGAGTTAAAACGAGAATTTTTTTACAAGCGCAAATATAATGTTTTATGGTAGATGAAGAATACCGAATTGTGTATTCCGTCTTTTTGTATTGCAGAGTTATTGATTGATTGTTACGTCATTTGTTTGTGAGAGTAACGTCATCAATTTTTGAGAAAACGACGTAATTTTCTCACACAAACCAATGACGTAACAATCAATACCTGCTCACAAGAGAAGATAACTCTGAAACACGGAATAGTGATTGTTTGTTTAACCCTTTCACTTCTATTTTGCTTTAGTAATTTTTACCATTCATTGGTATGGATGAGTCCATTTTGATCTACAGTGATGAAAGGGTTAAAGTGTTGACTAGACGATACATTTGCGAGGGTTATGTTTTTATAACATGCAATGAAATATTGATCAAACAAAAACCTGTCAAATGGAACCATAATATAGGTTTCCAGTTATGAACATAGTACTTTTACCCTTTCTCTGATAAATCACTTGGTGTTTTAACTCACATTACCCCTGAAAGTTCATAATGAACTATTCCAATCTTTGAGTTGGAAGAGTTTAAATGAGTTTTCAGGGGTGAATTAGTTAAAATCTTCCCACTGACGACGAAACCCTATACACAGGGATTGTGGTTTTAAATTCATACTATAGAGGAACCCTTATAGCATACAAGAGTATGTCTCTACACTTATAAAACATGGTTTTATATTAATAAAATACTACAGCGAAACAAGCTGGTATAAAATGTCAGTCTTCTCAAAGATGCTTTCGTGATGGGAAGGATCGGTGAAAGGGTTGAGGTGACACATTGGCAATTTCATTTGAAAACTTGCTTGTAACTTGTTTGTATCGTCAGATAATATAATGTATATTTTACTTGTTTATGATATGAACTACCGAATTTCAAAGTAATGTGATTGACGGGCACCTGTTCCTTACTCTGTGTATTGGTTAAGTAATTGATTGATGGAATCTCCTAAGACCAGTCAACCATTCAGGTCATAAAAGAATATCTACCGAACTGTGGCACTTCTACTTGTATCTTATCAAGTTCGAATGGTATTCATACATAATGTAAATGTCATGGTCCTCCTGGTGACGTCATCAGTATCATGACGTCGTAATTCTAGTGTGAGATACCACTGCCTCGTCATGGAATATGTATGTTTTGTTAAGATAACAAGCATGTACGATACATACGCTCATTTGAACTAAATGCTGAATCGTGTTAAGCAACTTTGACTTTCTATGATATTACAATACTCCAAAACATGGGAAATATAAACGTGCATTATGGATTTCCCGTAAAAAGCTGAATCATTTATATAGGTTTTCAAGTCCACGTGAACAGTTCATCGCTGAATTAACTGATATAGCATCAATATGTGTTGATGAAGTCACACAGTGATAGGACTATGAAGCTTTTGTATTTAGCGAAATTTTCCCCCAATGCATTGCAAGAATAATGGACAACCAGAGTAATAGTTACTGAATAAACAGGACTAAACCTAAATAAAAAGCCACAAATCTATGATATTACAATACTCCAAAACATGGGAAATATAAACGTGCATTATGGATTTCCCGTAAAAAGCTGAATCATTTATATAGGTTTTCAAGTCCACGTGAACAGTTCATCGCTGAATTAACTGATATAGCATCAATATGTGTTGATGAAGTCACACAGTGATAGGACTATGAAGCTTTTGTATTTAGCGAAATATTCCCCCAATGCATTGCAAGAATAATGGACAACCAGAGTAATAGTTACTGAATAAACAGGACTAAACCTAAATAAAAAGCCACAAATCAGCAAGCGTTTTTACATTCCCCGCAATATCAAACTATTGTGACACTTTTGTTGACTGAAGGACTTTCGAAATATAACAGTATCGACATTGTTAACAGTATTATAAACTAGAAGATAAGTATAACAAATGTAATGAAAGACAAAACAGTATATCATAAAGTGTTACAAAGAAGGAATTGTCTGGCAGTTATCATAAGTGTGTTAGGGAGGTATCCAAGTTTGAAGAGTGCAAGAATTGCTTTTTCTCTGAAGTAGCATGATATTTTCTAAAGTGATATTTAGATGAAGGGAACAGGTGCCCTTAAGGTGCGAGCCTTAGATGTATCGTTAATAGCCTTAACTATTTTCTATTATAGTATTGTACTCCAACTACCGAATAACAATGATTGTTTTATGTCTACTATTGTTGTTTTTTAACATTTAACTGTTTAATAATGTTTTATGATATAATAATTATCTATTGATAACATGCATAGAAATATGTCTGAACCATACAATCCGTCACCCTGTTTAAACCGGAATCCAGATATATTTCATGTTAACATTGGTATATCAATGGAACCGGTCTGGTCTACACAGGTGAAGTAAGTTTCGCTACAAAATGTTGTAATTGTGTTGTTCGGTTTTAACATATTTCACTGTGTACGTAGTTTTGTGTAATCATACGATATATGCTATTAACTATTCTATTAGTACTTGTATTGGTGTGGGATTTTGTGTTAACACTAGTGTAGTGTACGTAGTATTTACATATTTACCCAGATAGATGTTGCACATTTCATCCTTATTTCTCTATGTTTATTTCTATGTCTTTCGGCTTATATCTCGGTCTTTCTGTCTATCTACCAGTTCTTCTTACACTTTCCCTTGTCAGAAAAACTATCTTATTGTTTGTTTTCCAGTCCTAGTATCTTTTCATACTCTCTTCACTTCACAAAAAATATATAGGCTTGTGACTTTTTTTTTCACTCCAAGTTATTTCAGTAGACCTTATTGGTCTGAGACATGTCAGTTCAGTATATATTTAGATGCTTCGTGTAACTTAACCATTTCATGTTATATACAATTAAGGTCTTATTTCAAATTTATTATAGAGTACCTTTCACTTAACGTACTGATATATCAGTGGTAGGTTACGTTAAATATCTAGACTATTCTGAGTAAGATATATATATATTATAAATTTACTACTCGGTAATTCTTATTTTTATCACGTTTAACAATCAGCTTATCAAGTTGTGAAGCATTTTATACTTTTGTTTTCTTTCTTGTTTAATTTTCTACTAGTTTATAATATTTTTACCTTTAATATGAAAAACTGATGACACAGGACTTGTATATTTTACTAAATGCAGTCTGTAGATTTTTTTTCTCTTCCTTTTTTCTTACGACCGACTTTTTATGTTATTTGCCTGGACAAGTTTCCGCCATGGTGCATTAAAACAAAAGATAAATTTCCACTGTATGAGAATATATCATTTTATGCAATATTTCGCGAACAAACAACACCAACCCCCCAAACAAACGAAGAAAAAAACAAAAACAAAATAAAACATACCCATTTACGAAGTAAAAGCAAAAAAACTTTACCTCCAATTAGTATATTAGTCCTAACGAATCAATAATATCGACAAAAAATGCGTTTTTGAAATCCTTCAAGATTATTTTAGGTTTAGAAATATTGCATCAAATGTTATACGAAGCATTACAATCCGTTGGTTAAGGAGTTCATTTTGTTCCTTAACCTCCGCTCATCGGAAACGGAGGCGGTTATGTTATAAGAAACAGAAAGGGCAATATTTCGGTAGATTTTTACAATGAATGCCAATACTGCTTATCACTGTCCTAATTTTCTGTCTACTTTGTGCAATAATTTATATATTAACCTATTTAATACACATATATATTGCATGTTTCTTCACAATTTAACGAATGTTTATATAAATACTTCACTTTCCATCAAAATTCGTAAAACAAGTTTTCAAATGTCAACGTTATTTTCGTATTCCTTCTAAATTTACGAAAGCATATACACGTATTTACCAAATATGATTACTTTCCTGTACAATCCTGGTTCAGTAATTAGTTTGTACAGCCGTTATTACCTTATGGTGACTATTATATTAAAAATGGGTTCAATATTTAAAGTTCAACTTCGTTATTACGACCTACGAAAAAACGTCAAGCATCCCCTTTTCAATTTTTTCCAATATGTATTGGATATTTTATTATCATGAAGTGTTTTATATGAACATCATTTATATATGTTGTAGTTGTTTAGTTTTTAGCCATTTCGTTCGTATATACGTATTAGACCTTGCTGTTTAGGACATATCAGCTTTGTAGAAACATTCTACCGAATATTGGTATAACCAGATTTAGTGTGACCAACGGTGATCAGATTATCCCGAATGGATAGATGAGACAACAGAAACTATATCATTTAAAACATACAACTGCTACAGGCTGTTACAATAGTGTCACTGGAAGTCGTAAATGGGATGTAAATGTCCGGCACAACATATTATGAATATATATATATAGGATTCAATTGATAACTGTTTCCCTTTTTTTCTTTATATGATGAATCAAGCACAGACAAATTTTAGTTATAATTTTACTAGAAATAGAAATGGATGAACTGATTCATTTTTTATTTAGATTTTTCTGTTTAATAGTTAATAAGGTAAATAATCTTGACACAGTTAGGGTTGTTTAATCAGTATTGGTCACACACCATAAACATTCCTGTAAAGTATTCCCAGTAGCAATTTCTTAGATTGACATTCGAACATTCATGGACATAGACTAAGAGAAGTCATCAGAATAGTTTTTCATGTCTAGTTAGTTTAGAAATATTTAATCCATTGGGCTCATCTCAACCTGTTGACATGTAACGTTTATTTGTCAGGAAAGATAAATAAGAACGCATATAGACAATGACAAGATTGATATAAAATACTTTTCGATACATCTGACATGTATTTCATTGTTTAGTTTGTGACAGTTTTTGTTGAAAAGAAGATGATTAAAATCACATGTTAAAAATGTCCAAGCGTTTTTAGCGGGCGTCTAATTTGCAGCCTAATTGGAACGAAAACAAAAATAACAAAATAAATGTAGAAGTATACCAAAATGGATGTAATTTAAACTTTGTGTTATCAAAACATTTAAACGTTTCTTTATTGATGAGAATACGGTTGAATATTTCTAGACCACGACGACAGGACAGATGTGAGGTACAGAAGTCCTCGAATGACGTTTTCCCGTTTCTTTGTCGATCATAATAATTCGAGCCATTTATTTACGATATGAAGCTCTGTATAT